AGCCACACCCACCGACAGGAAGTAAATTGGCAGGAAGCAAAAAGTGCATCTTTGAAGACTCATATCTCAGTGAATAAATTTTTTTAGACAATGGGAGTTGGAACACATCATTATTATGGTCAGGCAATCATATAAAGACCATAAAATAAATACCCTAAAAAATCACTGCACTTACACTTTAAGGGTAATTGTAGAGGCCGAACTATAACAGGTGAGAGGACCATGCCCATGGATAATACACCACTTCCAAGAAGAAGGCGACATAACAGTACTTAATAACATTAGATTAATTTACATAATTTAACTATGATTTAACAACATACATAAATAAAAGAAACATTAATATAACTATTGTACCATACATGTATATTAATTTTAATTATCAAACTTTAGATTTGTCCATAGTTTTACGTAAACCTTTAGACTTCTGTGTTGACTTCTTTTCTGATTGCTTAAATTTTTCCACAAACGCACTTGCAAATGAAAATCCTCGCACTGTGATGTAATGCTTCACCAATAATTTCAATAATTCTTCAGCTTCCTCTAAGTCCCAATTAATTGATACAATTTCCCAATGGAATAATACCTCTTCATTTTGAATAATTTTCTGAAAGGCATGATCTTTAATACTTTCCTTTGACGACACAGCATAGTCTAGAGTAAAGTGACTTCTAAATTGCTGTTCAACAGACACCAAGAGTAGATACATAGAATCATCTATGAGAATGAGTCCACCACGATTAATTTCCATTGTCCATTTTCCTGATTCATCAATATCCTCAGTAGTCTCACTTAGATTGTAACCTAAAATGTGATGAGAATGAGATACATGTACATCATATCATAGATTGTTTCCTGAAACTCTTACCTTCAAATAAGTCCCTAAGACAAAGCAGCAACAACTCTTTGAGTGGATGAGCTGACTTTTCAACCTTCTTCTTTAAAGAACGCAACAGATACCCACCACAATAACGAAGGGCATTCCTTTCTTCTAGGTCCAGGGATGCTGATGCTGTGCTAACATTTTGAGTCAGATCCAATGGAAATTGGCTTTTCACAACCCTTTCAAGAAGAACTCTCGTAACATATTGAAAGAAAATTGGAGTGCCAGTCATTCCAATGCTACATTCCAAAAAACTCATCCACGAACTTACAAAATCATCACTAGAACACAGTTTGTAGTACTTTTCCCACATTAGTTCTCTGAAAATGTGCCATGACACTGGCTTATCATGAGAACAGCACTTTCTGATATCTAGCAAAAGACCCTCAGCAAATACTTTAACTGGTGCCTCATTCTTATCAGCAAATGTCAGCAACTTTTCAGCCAGTAAACGAGCTCTCTGGGACCTTTCACTTGGTAAATCAAAGTCTTCATCTTTAGTTACATTTGCTACTACACTTATGAACATCTGTAAATCGTCTGAAATAAAAACAGAAGATGAAACGACAGTTTATATTAGTCATACTCACCAGAAACATGGCCTTCAGCCATCTTAAATTGGCCCCGCCTTTCATCTACACGCCCATTGATAACCTGGCTGCTTTCTTTCCCGCTCGAGCGCGGTAGACAAGGACTGAGGTGAGACATTTGGTGCTAATTGGCTAAGTTTCCAATCCCTATTCAGGTCCGTATCTATGATTATGTTTGTTCACCACCGCATACTTTATGCAACACGTGGTTAAATATCTTCTATCTGTTGTTGGCAAGGCTGTTGGAGAGAGCAGGCTACAATTTTTGTCTGGATGGCTAAACAGCTTCTCTTCTGCTTCTTTTCTCTGCGTTAGTGCCAGAGTTTTTAGCTCGAGTAAGAGCATCTGATGTACCACGAGGATTAAGGTAACGCCTACTACAACCACATCCGGTTCACCCTGTTTTGGGGTGAAGTAGAACGAACGATCTACACTCATTCGACCAGACTAGACCCTCCCGTTGAGGGAGGGGCTGGCTACGCGAGACTAAGGCCCTATAGCTTACCCGTAGGCTTAGCACCAAGTCAGACTTTTTGCCTCGTAGAGATGCTCCTCTGCATAAAAGCCATCTTTTAATTCCTCTACTTT